ATTTGGCCCATATGCCTCTTAACCTTTCCAATTCATGTACCTATCCAAATGTCTTTTGAATGTTGTAACTGCACCTGCATCTACCACTTCCTCTGGCAGTTCATTCCCCATACAAACCACCCACTGGGTGAAAAAACTGCCCTTAAGATCCCTTTTAAATGTTTCTCCTCTTATCTTAAAATTATGCTGTCTGGTTTTGAGCTCCCTAAACACAGGTAAACAACCTTTGCTATCCAATTTATCTATATACCTCATGATTTTATAAAGCTGCTAGCCTGGTTTCCTCCATGTTCCAACTTTTCCTTCTAATTTTCAAACTTTCATTTTGATCTTTGAAATATTTGAGCCCAGGCTGATTTGGAGATCAATAACTGAGATGCCCTCGTGCAACCAAAATTGAGGACAATGAGCAGGTTATTCATTTTGCAAGTTTTGCTTAATAATATTGATAAGGATCGAGAGAGTAGACCAGTGGAGAGGTAACTGACTGGATATGTTCTAAGTATATAACTGGGCAATTTTCTACATTGTTGGAAAGATGTTTTTGTTGTAGCTTACTGGAACAGTTTGGTTAGGGGTGAGGCAAATTCTGGAGCACAAGTCTTCTGTACTTTTGCCGAAGATTGTCGGGACCCATAGCCTTTACAGTATCCAGTGCCTCCAAATGTTCTTGATATCAAATGGAGTGAAGTAAGTTGGCTAAAGAGTGGCATCTGTGATGCTGGGAACCACTGGAAGAAGCTGAGATGGATCTCCACTTGGCATTTCTAGCAGATGATTGTTGCAAGTGCTTCAGGCTTATGTTTTGCACTGAAGTGTTGGACTCTTCCATCATTGAGGATGGGGGAATATTAATGGAGCATACTCCTTCTGTAACTTGGTTAGTTGTCCGTCACCATTCACAACTGATGTGACAGGGCTGAAGAGCTTAGATCTGAATCGTTGGTTGTGGGATTGCTTAGCCCTAGCTACCACATACTGCTTATGTTGTTTGGTGAGCAAATTTGGTAGCTTCACCAAGGTGACGCTTAAGATTTCTGTACTGTCTTGGGACGCTCTCCTGCACTCTCCATCGAATCAGGGTTGATACCCTGACATGACCATAATAGTAAAGTGGAAGATATGCCTGGCCGTGAGGTTACAAGGTGTGTTGGAATATAATTCTGTGTTGATGCTGGCCCACAGTGCTTCACGGATGCCCAGTTTTGAGTTTCTAGATCTGTTCAATGTCTATCCCATTTGGTGATAATGCCACACACAACGATGGAGGGTATTCTCAATGTGAAGGCAGGATTTCATCTCCACAAGGACTGTGCAGTGATCACTCTTTCCAAAATGGTCATGGACATATGCATCTGCAGAAGGTGGATTGGCAAGGCCGAGGTCAAATATCTTTTTCCCTCACCATCTACCGCAGACCCAGTATAGCAGCTGTGTCCTTTAGGATCTAACAAGCTTGGTCAGTAGAGGTCCAGCCGAGCCATTCTTGGAGGTGGACTCCGAAATCGCAACCACCCAGGGTATATTCTACACTGTTGCCACCCTCAGTGCTTCCTCCAAGTGATTTTCAACGTAGAGGAGTACTTATTCATCACCCTAAGTGGTAATTAGCAAGAGATTTCCTTGCCCATGTATGACCTGTGCCATGAGACTACTGGAGAGTCAATGTTGAGGACTCCTAGATCAACTCCCTTCCAATTGTTTACCACTGTGCTGCCCATTCTGCTGGGTCTGCCCTAGTAGGAAAAAAAGTCTTGCATTCTATAGAACATTATATTATAGAGTCATAGAATCGTAGAGATGTACTGCATGGAAACAGACCCTTTGGTCCAACTCATCCATGCCGACCAGATATTCTACATTAATCTAATCCCATTTGCCAGCATTTGGCCCATATCCCTCTAAACTCTTTATCTAAGCTCTATTAAAATGTATTTATTCTATCATCTCAATTAGGGCGGCACGGTAACTCCGTGGTTTGCACTGCTGCCTCACAGTGCCAGGAACCCAGATTCAATTCCACCCTCGGATGACTGTGTGGAGTTTGCACTTGCTCCCTGCGTCTGCGTAGGTTTCCTCCGAGTGCTCCGGTTTCCTCCCACAGTCCAAAGATGTGCAGGCTGGGTGGATTGGCCATGCTAAATTGCCCATAATGTTCAGGGTTGTGTAGGTTAGGTGTGTTATAGGGGGATGGGTCTGGGTGCGATGCTCTGCGGGTCGGTGTGGACTCGTTGGGCCGAAGGACCTGTTTCCACACTGTAGAGATTCTATGATAAAAAACATGCAAGTTTCACACTCTAACAACACTGTGTAAAAATATTTCTGCTGAGTTCCCTGTCCAATTTATCAGTGACTATATGCATATTTATAGTCTCTAATTTTGCTTTCACGCACAAGTGTAGAATCACAGAATCCCTACAGTATGGAAGCAGGCCATTTGGCCCATCAAGTCCATACCAACCCTCCAAAGAGCATCCCACACAGACCAACCCCCGACCCTGTCCCTGTAACCCTGCAGTTCCCATGGTTAACCCACCTAACCTGCACATCCCTGGACACTATAGGCAATTTAACATGGCCAATCCACCTAACTTGCACACCTTTGGAGCTTGGGAGGAAACCGGAGCACCCAGAGATAACCCACGCAGACGCATGGAAAATGTGCAAACTCCATACAGACAGTCTCCCAAGGGCGAAATTGAACCCAGGTCCCCAGCGCTGTGTGGCAGCAGTGCTGAACACTGAGCCACTGTGCCATTCCAATAAACTTTTCAATCAGGTATTTGGTGTAAAGTTCTTCCCTATGGTCCACATTGAAAAACAGTTCCATAATCTTAAACATCTCCATCAGGTCACTCCCAAGCTTTTTTTTCAATACATTTAGCACTGCAACTGTATGGCACAGGGCGAGGGATCAGTTTCCTGCCTGTCATTTTTCATGTGTTCATACTTAAGTAAAATGTGTTACCATTTTTATCAGACAATTTAGTTTTTGTTCAGGTCGGAGAAAATCATAGGTATAAATATGGCTGTTGGATTCAATTTCAGGAGCTGTTGCAGAGATTCCATAGATTTTTACAGATTGATTGGTAATGAACACTGCTGATTAATGAATACAGTCTGACTTAAAACAGTGAGATGTCATCTAAGTCTGCAGCATGCTCACAACATTCTGGACACATTCCAGTAGCTTTCTAGAAGCCCTAAACAGAGCCAGAGGATACTGCTGTACCAGATTGTACTACACAGCATGAATCAATAGAAACCTGTTCATGAGCTTACACAGTTCAAATGAGTTTGTTAATAGTCATTACTAACAATATTTTGTAATAAACTAATACTGCTAATATACTAAAAGCTGTAGCAATGAACTTAGTGCTGATCCCTATTTGACCCTGTCAATTACCTTTTGACCTGTTAGTTTAATAGAATGAAACTAGACAGAAGGAGGCAATTTGGCTCATTGCCCTGAGACATCAATCCTCCCTGACATTTCCCCCAAAACAAAGTGATTATTTTTCAAGTTGTAATCCACTTTTCTTTTTATATTTATTACTGAATTGATCTCCACCACCTTTCAGGTAGTGCATTCCACATCGTATCAGATTGAAAGTCCATATATACAGCATTAACTGCACTGTCCTTATCCACACTCTCCATTACTTCATTAAACAACTTGACCAAGTCAATCAAACAATTTGCCTTGAACAAATTTGTGAAAGCTTTCATTTATTATCTGATATTTATCCAAGTGCCAAATTATTTTGCCCCAGAGGAATTTCTCTACACAATCCCTCCAAAAAAGATTAGATTGATT